CAGTTAAGGAAGCCAAAAAAAAAAACAACACAAGGACCCTCTCAAGATTTTATCGCCCACCGTCGCCGCCGCCCTCTCGAAAATCTCTGAAACAAGTTCGTTTACCTGTGCAAAAATTTAATTACAACTCGCTTCGCCAGCCAGGAGTGCACGAAATTTTTCATATTCATAATTAAAACTTTTGGCCATGGCATCCAATCTAATCAGCGACCGAAATTTTCCGCAGCAAATTGGTTTGACATTTTCAGTTTATCCAGCAACTCCCCTCCCCCTCGCTGCCTTCAGTCCTTGGCTGCTACTGCCACTCCCGCTAATAAATAAATTATGATTTCAATAAGGTCTTCGCAGACAGCAGCGAGTGAAAAACTAATTTGCCGGTCCCGCTCTTGTTTACCCGCCCGGAAAAACGGTCAACGACCGTCCTGCCATTTAAGCCCGTTTAGTTGTTTTAGGTGCTATTTTCGTATTAGTTGTTTTTCCAACCAGTTTTGTTTTTGTTATTAGCTGCTGTCTGGTTTCTGAATTTCCAGGGAGGCAGGCAGACAATACTTTAAAATTTATAATATTTTCATGACACCCTTTGCTTTAGTCCCTGAATTGTCCTAATTATAGAACGATTAGAAAGGCATTTTAAACTTAATTTTATTGGAATTTAATTTATAATAGAAGAAACCAATATTTATATATTTATATATGGTAGAAGAATAAATCTTAAAGTACAAGGTATACATAATAAAATTCAAGCAATTAAGGAGAATATAAAAAAAAAAATTGTAACAAAAACATAGGTAATAGGTATCATAATAGGTAATAAAGGTTCAAGCCTGGGTTCAAGCATGGGTTCCAATTTATTTAAATGTTAAAATTACAATCACCCGAGAAAAAAAAGTAAAAAGATAACAAGGAACCCACAAAAAAAGGTAAACAAAAGCAGCAGAGCTTTGATATTAAACTTGAGTGGATCCACAAGAGTGGATCGCCTTCTTTGAGTGGCTTTCTCGCTCTCAGGTTTCACTTTCGGAGCATATAATTGAGCAAATTTACTAACAACCGTTTCTTAATAAATTACCCGAAAATAATATACAAGAGAGAGTACAATCAAATAAGAAAAAGAAAAAGATGCGTTTCGATAATGCAAAGCCAAGGGAAAAGAAAAGGAAGGATAGAGAAAAAAAAGAAAGATATCATTTGGTTTTACTCACTCGCTTCAATATTGTTGTTGCTGCTTCTCTACTCGCGAAAAAAAATCACTTACCTTTAGATTTGTTGAGGGTGTTGCCGCTTCTCCTTTCCTTCATTCCTTCAATTTTCTCGCTTCTTCTTTTTTCTTAGTATAACTTTATTCACATACTTTATTTTAATTTTTTGTAGTGTACATAACAGATAGCGAAACTGGACGGCGACAAGAGAGGGCGTGGTACTGCGCATTATTTCTGTTTACACTTTTACACACCGAAAAACTAAGAACAAACGAATATTAACTAACAAAACCGCATCGGCACTTCTCACAACTGCGGTTTTCCGACGCACTTTTCTTAGCATTTACACGCGGCCGCGATCCTATACTTAGCGATCAAATTTTTAACTCCGTTTCACTCACCGCCACGTCACTGAATGAATTGATTTTTTTAATTACCTATGGGAGAGGTCGCTTCTAATGAGAGTGCGGAATAAGGCAGAGCGTGATAATGGAAGCTTCCGAGCTTAGGCCACCATGCTTATAATAGCAAGTGAGGCGAGAGAGAGAGAGAGGGGGAGAGGGAATATTGCAATTTAGGCTCTCCTCTCCTGACCTACTTACACCCTGTTTCGGCGTGAACTTAAAGCACGATCGACTTTATACCCTTTTAAATTGCTCAAATCAAAAGAAACTTACTTCTCTATATGATGGGTAGCAACTATTTGATTCTTTTCTTTTTTGGATAGTTTTGTACTTTCGTTTAAGGAAAAATATATAATCCAAGACGTCTTTAAGTAAAATTTAAAGGAACAAAGCTTAGATTATGAAAACATTTAAATAAATCAATGCATAAAATGAGGTATATATACTGTATTGTATAAAATGAATTTTAAAATCTAAAATACAAAATGTAACCCCAAAGTTGAGATACTTTTGATTAAATTATTAAAATTCATTTTAAAAAATAATAAATATTATATTATTAAATATTATAACACTTGTTATACTTTAAATATTCCAATAAACAATTACAAACAATTATATTTAGTTTATGATGTATTTCTTGGAAGAAACGCTTTTAAAGCAAATTTTGCTGACTTAAAAAAATTTTTATGTTCCAAAAAATAATCAAATCAAGTTTGGAGAATCTTTTAATGGAGCAATATATAATTCTTGCTTTTAATTTACAAACCAATTTGATAAAATTAAATAAGTATCAGCATTTCCTTAATCTGATATCTGGGGTTTTTATATATACATAGTTCAATTTTGGTTACTTGCTGATAAACCAATCAAAATCCAACCTGATTTCGCGAAACTATTGGCAGCCGGCTTATCTGCGACATCAACCGTTTATTTTCCGATTAAGATCCCAGGAGCAACATAATGATTCAGCTGCTACGTGGTACTCGTACTCCCCCTCCAGAAGCCACGAACAACAAGCTTAGCGCCTCCGTACAAGCTACAAGTCAAGCAGTCGCCTGCAGATAGCAGTTGTGAGAATCTCCGGCTTTTCCGGCATCCTGGATTCATCTGCATTCGACGCCCCCAAGCACACACACACACACACACACAGGCAGAATTTGCAGTTCCAGGTCATGGACAAAATGGCGACGCCTACGCAGTAGAAGATAGATAGATATATATGGATATGGGAGTGAGAGTGCAAGAAGGAGAAAAAAAAATATATGCGAGAATTTGCTGTTAAGAGCAAAACGCGAACGAAACCCTCATGTCCGTATTCCGTTTCCCATGGAACCCGTAGTCAGTCCTCAGCTCAGTTGTCCATGGTCCGCGGTCCCTGTTCCGTGGTCCTTATTCCATGTCCAAGTCCAGGCCTTTTGGCAAATAGCCAGGCTCACGAATGGATGTGTGTGTGTGTGTGTGTGTGTGCCTGACAATAATCCAAAAGTTTTACAAGCAAAACGAGAGACCATTACATGGCGAAAGGGCTGGGGGCAGAGTCAGAGTCAGAGCCAGGACAGAAACAGAAACCACTTGCAAGCAATTTTCATCAGCGATTCCCTTCTTTCCTTTTTTTTCTCCTCCTCGCACGTGTGCGTATGTGTGTGTGTGTGTGTGTGTGTATCTATGTGAGTGGAACATTTTCCAGTGCCGCTGACAGCTGGCAGCGTGTGGATTTCAGTGGCATGACCGCAGGAGATGCCGCCGCCGCCGCCACATCGCCAAGGCCCATCGCAGTAGCCAGAAGCAGCAGCAACAACAGGAGCAGCAGCAGCAGCAGCAGCACGGCCGACGCCATGACAACAAAAGTTTCCTGCACTGAGAGAAAAAGTATAGTAATTATAGTAATTTACAATTTAATTCTTAGTTGAAAATAAGAGAAAGTTATTATCAAAAGTATGTCAATATTTATAGAGTCAGAAGTATCTTCCTAGAAGAGCTACCTGCTTTTACATCATATTCCATTAAAATATTTACTTAACCTATTTTTAATACATTTGTTATGTATTTTTATGTATTTATCATACAACTTTAAAGTATTTTTTATAAATTTTATATACTTTTAATGTTTTTCTATGCATTTCTATATCTTGTTAATGTATTTATTTGTATTTTATATGTATTTCTCATGCAATTTGAATGTATTTTTGAGTATTATTATATGAAAATTATTATTTTAATATTTTTACTATATTTTTTATACTTTCCTAGTGCACCTCTGAGTCTCTGGGTGTGGAACGACAAACTAGGGCTGGAGCTAAAGTTCATTGTCTATGGCAGACGACGCCACAAAAGGTAAACGATTTGAGGCTCTGTTCCCGATCCGAATAAAAGACCAAAAGCCAGAGTAGTCCTTGGACAGGGGGAAAACCACACCACACCACACCACACACCCTATGAAGTGATAAAAGGGGGATCAGTGGGGGAATTCCAGGACTCTGGCATTCTCTCGTATCCTAGCTAAGGGGGAGTGCTTACCATAAAACTTGGCCAGGACTCTCGGACTCTCTTCCACAGGCTTTTGCCCATTTGGCAAATGGAAAAATATGCTGAAATGTGAAAAAAATAAAATAAAATAAAAAGTTTGCACTTTACACTGTGAACAATGCGGCCACGCCCACTCTGAGCCGCTTGCTTAGTAGCCGGGTGTTAATAAATTTAAAGTTGGTTTTTAGTCGCCGGGCAGGAAAGTAACAGCCGGCAACTTTCTCTTCTTCCCTTTAACAAAAATACCAAAAATTGGTCAAAAACAAAAACCTCTGACAGAGAGGAAAAGCAGAGAAAAAAAATGCACACACAGGCAGACACATAAAACAGAAAAGTTTCTTTAAACGCTGCACGGATTGTTATTTCTATTTTCCCCATGCCGCCTCCAGAGCTCCGGAAAACTCGGCAAAACACGTTCAGAAAAGCTGGTTCGGAGAAAGGACAAAAAAAAGGGCGCTTAACAGTCTGTGCCACACTTTCGGCCAGGACATTTATAAGGTTTGTTTTCAAGTTTTTGCCTCTCAACTGGCAATTCGCTTAAAAAGAACACTCATATATGTATTCATCCGTCAAAAAGTGCACACAAAGTGGATAAAAGTGATCTGTATGGATGAGGAAACTGGCAATATTGTTCTATATTCTATGATTTTTTATAGGAAAGAATTGCACTCTCTAAAAATATCTCTTAAATATAAATATATCTTGTTTCGTTTAATGAAAAAATACTTTTTTCTTTCACAAATCCATTCGTTTATTTCCATTCGAACGTTGGGTAAGTACATACAATATTTTTTTCACTGAAGCTGTTATTGTTATATTTCAAAATAAATATTGTTCTCTACATTTATATCTTTGTATATATATTTGTTGTTTGTATAATATATAATATCAATTTTAATTAAAACAGGTGCATCGCACAACATTAAGAACCTTTTAGTACTCTTTTGCTCTTGGAATTGCATTTAAGGGTGCTGGTTTTGGGGTATATAGAGAGAGCTTTGTAATACTTAAACGTCATTTGTTTAAACCTATTATATCCGACGGCAAGATGGTTAGTACTGTAATGTCATGTAAAATCCACATGGATAACAGGCTTACAAAAGAGGTTACCAATTCTAGAATGTCTTTAGCAAAAGCTAGCCAACTACCGAGGCACTTCACAGGTGTTCTAAACTAGTCTAATCGAAAACGCTCTAACCGTTAACTACATAAAAGCCTTTTATCTTTTTCTTTATCTTTTTGAATCCATGAACAGAGAAGCCTAGCGTGATGTTGGGTTTTCCGTTTTCCATTTTCGAAATTTAGTATGTGGGTCGGAAACCATTGCGTTGCGAAAGAACCGAGTCGGGGCTCTTCAGCTCCATTGCCAGCTTGTAGCCCAGCTCGGGGCGGCGATCTCGACCCTCAGCCATGGCCTTGACCTTAAGAGAGAAAAAGAGTGAATATTATTAGGTAAAGTAACTAAGCAAGCAGGAACACATGGTTTTAAAATTTCCATAAATCGATACTGTTTATAAATCGATATTTAAAGTTTGCGATATTTGTACTATAAATCCATACTCTGCTTAAACAATGTTGAAAGCGAAAAGCTATTAGATAGGACCTATATTTTTAATAGTTTACAGTCTTTTCTTCAGTCTTCAATAATACAGAATTCTAGTGTTTATACACTGTATATAAATCGATATTTTAAATTTGCGATATAAATCGATATTCTGCTGCAGCAATTTCGATAGCGATAAGCCTAGGACCTTTCCTTTCGATATTTTACAACCTTTTCTTCAGTGTTCACAGCACACAGCTCCACTTTTTACCATTTTTATTTAATTTTTTGGAAGTAATCTCATCGCTTACCTCATTAGTGTGCACGATAACGCCATCGCTGGTGTTCACCTTCTCCTTGGTGTGCTCAATGTCGTGTACATCCGTTCCACGGCAACAGTCGTCGATGAGAATGGTCCTGTATCCGGCGGACAAAGCATCCACAGCCGTGGCACCCACGCACACATCATAGGCCAGTCCGCAAACGTAAATGTCCGTGGCACCCTTCATCTTCAGTTGGGCATTTAGGGTGGTATCCGAGAGTTTCTTGTTGTCCCAGAATACCGAATACGAGTCCACCTCTGGATTGGTGCCTTTGTAAACCTTGATGCCATGGTCCACCACCTTGAGGTCCTTGTGCAATTCGGCTCCCCAGGAGTCCTGCACACAGTGACGCGGCCACAGGCGCTGCTTCATTGGCGGCGGTCCGGCAAAGATGACCGTGTCAAAGACCTGGGCAGAGTCCGCATCCAACTAGGAGGAAGGGAATACACTTAGTCTGGCACTTCCGTGCAATTACCGTGGCTGTCTTACCGCCGACGACTCGTCCATGGCTCGCATTTTGACATTATCAATAAATGAAACATGATCGCTGGGATGCCAGTCCAGTGAGTAAAAGACGGCATCAAAGTCCACCGTATCCAGCAGCTTGTTGATGGGCTCCAGTATCTGAGGAAACGGAAGAGAGTTGAGAGGGACTGATGGCAAGGTGGCACTTTCCTCACAAACTCAACTCGAGTGCCGTCGAGTCCCCGTAATGCGACGAGACGGAAGTGCGTGTTATTAATTTTGACAAATTTTCATGTACCAGCCACAGACGATGTCAGTTGCCAGATGGAAATGGAAATGCGACAGTGTTGCCGAGCAGAAGGAAGTGCGAGGGAGCGAGAGATCTCGACGACTTCCGGCGTGTGTCGCAGCGCGGATGCGACTTAAGTAAAGCATATCCGCTTCCGCTCCGTGCACTCTCTCACTCGCACTCCTCCAAGCAACTCCTCCGTCTCGTTATCATGCCTGTGCCACCGCAGGATCTGGTATTGAGGTCTGACATCCAGACCATCCCTTCCACTTCTCTCCCTTTGGACCAGCTTATCCTCATCTCATCTGAAGCGGCAATGGCTTTGGCTCTCATCCTGGCGGCAAGCCCGAACCAAGGCCCTTCATTTTCATTTCTTGTAACGTCCTTTTTTTTGTTATTTTTTTATGTCCTTCCGTCGTCGCCGCTTACCGCACCTGTCGGGGCTAAGCTGCTGGCCAGGTTGCTGCCAGAACTTCACTCCAAACAGTGATGGCAAGGTGACTTTACTTTTTTTCGGTTTTAAAATTATATAGTTATACTTTTTAGTGATATTTAAACTTGTATGATTTCTGAATTTTTTTGACCACCAGATATTTTTTAAATTAAGCTTTCTTCATTTAATTTCCCAATCATTACGACTTTGTGTGCTTGCACAGACATTTCTTTAGGTTTAGCAAAAACTATCTATATTCCTTTAAAAACACTTTCCCCCCTAATTGTAACTTATGCAAATGTTATCTAATTTTTCATATTTTCCCCCCCTAGTTTAGTTTGCTGACAGCACTGACTGAACCACCCACAAAAACCCATCCCCCATTGGCACCCCTGCCATTTGTGACTCCGGCACTCACCTCGTGTCCTTGCTGCTGTGCACTGCAATTACTTATATCCAAGGAACCACTTATAAAATCATTTTGTACATCAACAATGAGGAACGCGTTCACCGGTCGCACAATCTGCCAGAAAAGAGAGTAAGGGGAGAAGGTTGGAAAATGTTAGAGCTGGGCAACATGAGCAGCCACGAAAAAATAAAAAAAAAACAACGTGAGAAAAGGAAAACAGGAGCAGCGACAACGACACACACACAAAAAAAAGAAAGAAAATCGTAAGAAAAATTGTATGGGCCAAAAGTAAGTGAAGCGGCGAGGTGAGGGATTTTTTTTTTCTTTCTGGGCGGGTCCAAAGTACCCAAAGCACAAACATGAAAAGCTAAAAAGAAAATTTGTATACATATATGGGCTCTGCATTAGCGGTGTATCAGAGAGAGAGAGTGTGTGTATATCTGTGTGTGTGTGTGTGCCGACTGATAAGTTTCTTTTTTCGCCGTCCTGCGTTATAAATGCGTTTTAAATGAAGTAAAAGCCAGTCGAAAAAAATGAGCGAATAAGAAGAAATAGAAATCTTAAAGGACCTTTTGGCAAGGTACCAACGAATATGCGATGCTCTGAATAATGTCACTCGGGAAATGTGATAAATGAGTCAGGTTAATGAGACTATTCGGCATTAAATATTTAAATATCATAATATTTATTCTATAAATATTTCAATATTTTCCTATTATTATTATTTAATGACAACATTTTACTTTAGACCAAGATATATTAAGTAAAGCAACATCATCAGTAACATTCCATAAAAATACGACAATAATAATATTGCAGAAGACGCGGAAGCATTTAGTTTAGTTTTTAGAGATTTTAAAGCTATTTTGACAAAAGTATGACAATTGTAATACCTTATATATTCTATAAATGAATGAGCAAAGAAAGAAAATATAAATCTTAAAGCACTTTTTGGCAACGAACATGGGATGCTCTGAATAATGTCATTATTGAAATGTTATAAATATGTCGGTAGTTATTGGAAATATTTATATATTATTCTAAAAATATTAAAGTATATAAATTAGTTATTTAAAATCAATTGCAAAATTAAATTGAACTTTTACACAAAAGGAAAATAAAGAGGGGGAAACATCGGTAGCATTCCATAAAAATACCACAATAAAAACGTTCTAGGTGTTAAGCATGAACTTATTTTTTTGTACAGACTTTAAACAAATTTGACAAAGAAATAGTTATAGATTCCTTTAAAATTGTTAACATTTTCACTTAAAAAATGATTGTGATATATTTTAGACTATTTGTAGTGCATATTCCATCCAAAAATCGTAGTATTAAATTGTATCAATTTTAAACAACTTATTTTTAAAAACCTTTCATATTCTATTTTATGCATACTTAATAATATTAATTTTTCTAACTATATTTACTTATTTTTGCTACTTAAATATTTTACACAAAATATCCTTGAAACTTTTTTTCTTCTTTGAATCTTTCCCAAATGGTTAATCATTAAGCCCCACTAAGTATTCATATTAATCCTCTGACCAAACTTAAATAGACTTGCATAATATCCTATTTTTAAGAGAATCTAAATTTCTCTCCTACGCACACACACACACCAAACACACACACGTAAGCACAGCACGCGCAGACACAGACGTGGAGACAGACACACACACACGAGGCAAAAGGCAGCTCGTTAGGTTGTCATTGCTATCTTGACTGGCAGCCAGGAGCAGGAGCAGGAGCAGGAGCAGCGGCATCATCAACAGTGGCGAAAGCATCATCAACGTTGCTATGCTCCCCGTTCCCTGCTCCCGGCTCTAGCTCATTCCCAGTCCCCCATGATCCTTGCTCATCCTCATCCTTGTCGCTGGCTGTGGCTCACTGTAAGCTGATTATGTTCGAGCATATTTAAAATTAGTGAAGCGCTTTTAATTTGTTATTTATGTGCACGCTGATTATGAATGATTATGATCTATGCGCAAACAGAGGCGAGAGACGCAATTGCAGCTCCTGCTTCTAGTCCTGCTGCTAGTCCTGCTCCTGCTCCTGCTCCTGCCACTGCTGCTCCTTTTGATTTGTGTTGTTTGGGCTAGCAGGGCATTTAAAATATGTCATCCAGCTAAATGCCTTAAAGCGCTGGAACGTGAGCTGCAGCGGCTCCGGGGGCAGGCAGGCGGGCAGGTGAACCGAAGGAGACTGGAAGGCGGGCAGCAGGAGACACCGCTTAAGCAGTTGATGATTTATCACCATGTTGGCAGTCGCAGTTGCCACTGGGATGCAACCACTTTGGATGCCAGGAGCATGGAGCAGGGTACGTACTGCACCGAGTCGAGAGGAAGTGATTTACATTTACATGGCGAACATTCTCAACATTTTGAGAATAGTTTCCAGCAGAAGGAGGGCTGAGGGGAAAAGCGGAGATAATAGTCGGATCAAGGTAGTTAATGTATCAATTTAGCCCCGGTTTCCAGACTTTTCCCCTGCCCCCCCTTTGAGCTTCGAGTGCTTTCCGAATGTCTAAGTGAAAGGAAGTGCCTGGTAATTTGGATTCAGGGAATTCCCGGCAAAGATTAAATATCCGGTATATATCTAGCGACAGTGACTAAAGGAAGGCATTAAAGGATCTGCAGATAAAACGATAATAACTCTCCACGCGAAGGCGACATGCATATGGAAAGGATGAAAATTGTCTGCAACAAGTGTGGTTACGCATACGACACGTTGTCTCCTCAGCCAAAGATTTATAGCTCCAAAACAGTTGTGCCAAAATTGAAACATTTTGATTTGAAACTTTTGATATTTCGTCAGTCTTCATTTGCAGTTGCCCCAAGGCCTTTCGGCCCTTGTTAATTCAACTACAAATCAAAACCAACCTCCTCTTAACCCGAACCCAACTCCAAACAATTGAGCCAGACACATTAGACAAGCTGTGGAGGGGAGTTGATCCCAGTTGATAACTGAGGGGCAAACATGGCCAAAGCCACAAAAGGCTTCGAACAACAGACTGGGAGCCCAAGACTTGGCCACAATTTGCACATCAAGTTGCCTTTCGCTTGGCTCAAGAAACCTGGGCATCCCGGGCATCCAATTACGGCCCATCTGGCACAGATGCTGCCCAGGACTCTGGCTCCTGGCTCCTGGCTCATCATCATGGCCCATCATCTTTCTGGTGCTGCAAAACTTGGCAAATTAACACGCGCCCGATTCAGCTGACCTCTGGTCCGTTGTTTTGGCCTGGCCTTTACAGCTCCCCCCTCTCCTGAAACATCTTAATTTAAAGTTAAAACTATGAATCTCTGATGATGCAATGGGGGGAGTCACAGTATCACCACCCCCATCCACAAATATGTTTCAGTTAAATTAATTATTGAAGAGGGTTTGCGGGGCGAAGGAACCACAACTTACACACTGGCTTGGGCATAGAGTTCTTGGCTACACCACAGCAAATCTTAAATTCAAATTACACTTTAGCCCCGGAAACAAAAGGAACAAGTTATAGAAATAACTCCTGCCAGATCCACACACAGCAGCAGAACTAACTAAGGTGGAAGTGAAACTTTACACAGACTCAGCTCGAGTCGATTTCGAAATCAGTAAAACCCAGGGCGCCGACGTTTTTGGGGTTAGAGCTTATTCCCGAGCCAGGTTTGGGTTTCCTCCTTCCTCCTTCCTCCTTCCAAGTCTGGATTCAGCCAGGCAGACAAACTGTCAAAGTGTGAGCCAAAAAAGTTGCCAAGCTAAACGAGTGACGACGAGACGAGCGGCCCGGAATCGAATGGAATTCAGCTTGCTATTGAAGTATGTGCCAAAAAGGCGAACGTGCCGAAGTCAGGCCCAAACCCAGACGCCTCCACAATATATATATATAGCTATATATCTATATATAAATATATGTATATATATCTATGTGGTGTCACACATATACACCACAAACGTGTGCACCTTTTGGGAACGAACATGAGGAGGCAGGTGCTAAAGCAATTTCCGCTCCGAAATTGTTGCATAAGTTGGTCGGCGGCTTCCCAATATATATACATATATACACCGATATATGCGGAGATATATGCACAGATATATCTTGGCATAGGCAGACAGTTCTCATCGTCCTGACAGTTTTGTGGATTTGTGGGCTGAGCCATGCTGGGTCTGTCAGTTCGCTGGAAAATTACATTATACAATTTATGCGGCTGCCAGACGAAGGAGTTTTGCCAGGATCAGGACCAGGACCAGGTCCTGGAGTTGGGACTTGGAGATGGAGCAGGCGAAAGGTGGAAATTGCAGCCGCCAAAAGAAATGAAAACCAACTATAAATAAGCGCCCAGAACTTTTTTTGGGGTTATCGCGGGCGAAAGGCGGCGCAAATTCCAACACGACTTATGGATAGTGTGGAAATTGTTTTGCCAGAGCCCATTTCGATTAAGGGAAAAGTTTTTCGGGGGAAATGCTTACCTGACACCCAAAAGAGTACTACCTGGCAAGGGATTTATGGATTGTTATTTTAAGGGTTTACTATCTTAAATAAAAGTAAATTAAATATTACATTATTATAAGTATGTATATATATTGACAAGTTTAATTTCCTAAATTGATGATTTAAGCTTAATGTCCTGGTCACCTTACTAACAGGAAAACAAATGGGTGCTCCTTGAATTTTTGGTAAATTTACATTTTAGGCCAAGATGAATGGCGGACCATCCTAGTTAACCTTCCATTTATCGTGTTTTTTTTTCGCCGATTCCGTTCAAGAGCTTAAGAAATGGCGACTCATTTTTCAATAAAGTCCAATCAACTAAAACCAACTCTCAGACTGGTCAGTAAATCAATGAATCTTGTTCCAGCTTTCCCAGCCGCCTCTGATTCTCTTTCTGTTCATTTCCTGTGACTTTTTCGGGGTATGTTATAAGTCATTAACTTTCTAAATAATCGCTGCAGCGTGTCAACTTTGGTCGTTAAACTTTCATCAGTCGACAAACGGTGAGGGAAAATCCAGCGACCAGCAAAAATTAAGCTTGCCGAGGGGAAAATGTTGGGGAAAGCGGACATGGAGACGGTGGAAAAACTGAGCGAAATTTATAGCACGATATTATTTTCCGCTCGATGAGCAGAGAAGTTGTGAGGCGACTTTTGGCACTCACTGTAATTTCTCCTGCTGCTGCCGAGATAGAGGACTCGCCGTGTCCTTTTTTCGAAGTCGGTGTCGGTGTCGGTGTCGGTGCGTAACTGAGCACAAAAAAATGTGCCACATTTTGTGCCATAAATGAAGACATTATAAACGACACTGTCTCTGTGTCTGAGTGTGTGTCTGTGTGTGTATTGCTCACTTTCTCCATGTTGGAGTGCCGCCTGTGAATGTATGAGTGTGGACCAAGATTAACGGTAGACATTGTAAGACACTTAAAGCTGTTGAAGATTTTTGAGTTGCTTTATGGCCAGGGGTTCAATGAACTATATGATGATGCCTTGTATGATATATGGCTGCCACTCCCACTTGTGCCCATGCCAAGGCAGCCTCTGTTCATAAATACACTGAGGGAATAGGATTCGAAAAGGTCTTACAAAAATATACACTCTAATTTTTAAAATATGGTGTTTGCAACATTTCTAAATATGCTTTACTTTTTTGAGGTCTTTAGTCAAAATCAAGATGCTACTTGAATTTGAAGTTGTATGATTTATTATTACGCTTGAAACATTGATTAAACATTAATGAATAAATTTCTGAATATTAAGTGGATTATTTAAAATCAATTAAATCTTTACTCTGATATTTTTTTCTTGGTGCACAAAGTGTGTTTGCTACGAGAGGAGAAAACGAGCAGGTGAGTTGGCCATAAATTTATTATACGAGAAATAAAAGCAGTTTAAAGAAATGAAATATTTACGAACAAAGGCACCAAAATGAAGAGAAAAAAAAATGAGAAGGTGGAGAAGGTGTATGTGATACTTGTACATGAAAAGAATGGTCCTTTCATGCGCCTCTCGCAGTCAATTGAGAGGACCGAAATTGTCAAAGGAAGGCATAAACAAAAGAAATAGATTCGCATTAAATAAAGTGCCAGTCCAGCGAGTTTATCAGGAAAACTCGCCTGAATGTGTCCTTTCACCTTTGTCAATTAGTATTTTAAGTATATTATGTGCCCCGCCTGCCGCCGGGGGAAGAAATGGAAGAAAACTGGGACCCAAACTCAGGCTTCAGGCTCAAGGCTTGTCCCTCGTCAAAAAACCCGGGGTTGTTGTTTTCCCAGAAAATGTGAAAGCCGCAGCATTTTACGCTCGGGGCAACTTTCGCTTCTCTACCTAACTGTGCAGCTGGTTAAAAAAGCATTTTCTGCACATTTAAGCACATAAATTACGCACTCTTGGGCAAATGCAAATACAATAAAAACATCAAAAACGTAAGCGCGTCGCATTGAATTATATATATATATCAAATAAATCAAAATGTAGGGGTAAATAATGGACAGGGTTCGCGATTCTACCTTTTACATTCAAACGAATTCTGGACACGCGCAATCACTCCATTGGGCCTTTCGGTCATATTATTTCCATAAATTTGCTTTCATTTCCATTTCCGTTTCCGCAACTTCAATCGATTTCAATGTGCAATCCCAGCACAGATACACAGATACACAGATACAGAGATACAGAGATACAGGCAGCCGCAGGAGCCGCAAAATATTTAGCGACCGTTGCAAATGATTTATGGCGTTAATGTTCTATTTATGCGTTTATTTAATTTGCCTCTGTGGCTGTGTATGTGTTTCATCCTCATAATTCTAAGCTCAACCCTCCATCCCATTTGATTTGTTTATTATGCAAATTTTTCGGCTTGTTTGTTGTTTTCCCTATTTTTTGCTTTGTATATTTTTTTTGGCGCTTCGCGTCCTTTCTGATTTCCCCCCGCCTCACGCTTTATGCAAACGTTAAACTGCAAAATTACCATTTATGCAATTCATGCGGAAATACAAACAAAAGTCAATTTTATGGGCCAGCATTTCTCTTTGTCTTTTCCATCGAATTTATTTTATTTTTACTTTTTTTTCTGGGAAGAACTGTGACTAACCAAGGGGGGTGTGGGGGTGTGGGGTTTCATTTTTTAAGTGTTGCCGTTATTACAGTATCAGCTGCCGGAAGATTTCATTCGGCCTGCTTCTTTATGCGTTAATAAATTTTTTATACAATATTACGCAATTCGGTGTAAATGGGCGGAAGGGGGGCAGGGGGGCGGGGTAAACGGCATATCAAAAATAAAATGATTATTCTCTCTTTTTTTTGCCTCCGCATCAGAAATAATTTGTCGCGTGACAATGGAGGGCAGGACTCAACAGGCTACATATAAAGCTGCCACCACCATGGCGTATACGTAATATTGCCGGGATTTCAGTTTTCAGGAGGTGTGTGTGTGTGTCTGGGGGAGGAAGTGGGTATGGGGGACACCGGGTCATCAAAGTTTATGCCACTTTGCCATAGGTGGGATAAATAAACACGCTGCTGGCTTACCATAGCCATAGCTCGTAAAGTTCTAAAAATAGGATTAAAATAACAGAAGGCGTCATAAAAGTGCTATAAAACTTGCACACACCAACCATTTTGCATTTACATTACCCATTTTGGGGTTTTTGGGAATAATTTGGAAATGCCTAATGAAGTCATAATAAACCATTAGAGTATATTAATAAAATGTAAAAGTTCATAAATATTAATTAGAGTAAGTTTTGCTAAGTAATTCGAGCTGTCATTTGTATCTTTTAAACAGAAATATGTGAAAGATGTAGACTAAGTCTCATTACCTTTATTATATTTTCCATTTAATTTATATTATTTATTTAACTTTTGCAAACATATCGTAAAATAGAATAATTTAAAAAATACATCGAATTTCTGCACCGAATTAGATATCATTTTACTAATTTTTATAAAAACATTAAGAATAGGCATCGTTTATGTTTGGAGTAAAAATTTCCCTCAAAACTATTATTTTCAAATTTCAATTTGTAAGAAATACTAACAAAACTTGAGGTTTTTTTTTAGAAAAGTCTCCCCCCAAAAACATTTCATTTTTTTTTCCAAGAAAATGTTCCCATTGAACTTTGATTTCATTGCTTAAAACTTGAATAAATTGTAAAATTTACTTTCCAGCTTCAAGTGGGTCTTAAAGCAAGCGTGAAAAATAAAGAAGTCCTTGCAAAAATTGTCCCATCACGTACACAATTTTATGGCAGAGACTGTGGCAAACAAAGTTGTGATGCCCGAGATGGAGATGTGCAAAAGTCATAGACTACGACAATAAAATTATTTGAAATTTTTTGTTCATTTCTATTTTAATATGCCCGGGAAGATGTCTTCAATGCAACCGCCCAGCATGGAATCCCTTCATGTTGCCCTACCACAGTTCTGTGGCATTTTATTTGTCACGCGTTTTTATCACTTTACGTGCGGAGTGTGGCCACTGTGTGTGTGTGTGTGTGTGTGTGAGAGAGTGTGAAAGTGTGTGTGAGTGTGTGCCTGTGTGTATAGCTGTGTATCTGTGTGTGAGGCAGTCCCAGCATCGGATTATCACATTTGCATATGCCGCCGACTGCCACTGCCTCTGACTCTACACCATAGTGACAGGACAGCAAGGGACAGTGGGGCAAAAATATAGATTTTTAAATAAAGAAGGAAATGAGAAAGTGTTATATGTTTAAGAGATATATAAATTCAAAAGCGTTACTAGTTGTATAATTAAGCATGAAAATCATACTGATTTGATATGATATTATTTGTTTTAAATAATTTACGATCATACTTTTAAATAATAGGAGAACTATTCAATTACACATATTTACATTTTTTAAGTAATACAAAATTACTTGTAATTTCTCAAAAATCATTCTGATATCAATTAAATTAAAAAAGAATAATATTAGGTCATACCTTTTTGTAAAAAGTAACAAAAATAATTGTAGTACTATTTAAATGCACATATTTACATTTTTGAAATACCAAAAAACATTATTATTTAAAAAAAATTATTCTGATATCAATTTATTAAAAGAATAAATAATATACGAATATACCTTTTAATAAGAAGTAGCAAAAATAAAAGGAGTACTTTATAAATATATACTTATATTTTTAATGTTTAAATACAACAAAATATTTATATGTTCCAAAACAAAAATTGTATAAATTGTATTATATAAAATCCCACTGTGCAGAGTCCTGATGATGTTGATGGAAGTGGATGTGGAAATGGAAGTGGGAATGGGAATACGGATGGGAAATACGAAATTCGGAATGGAAATGATGATGAAAGCAATCCCCCACACACCCATACACACATACACACACACCCACATACACCCACACAAACATACACACACCAACGCATGCACTGATGTCCCCCCCCATGACGTGTGACATTCGCTGTAAGCGACATTTTACCGCTGCCCAATCCCCCCAAAATCCCAAAGATGAAAAACCCCCGACGGAAGTTCTGGGACTGGGACTGATCAGGATTGAATTACACACACAATCCGAGTACTCGGCCACTTTGATTGCAAATTTTAGCTCCATGTGTGTGGGATGGAAACATGTTGACAAATATTTTATTATCACATTTTTTTATGATTTTACGAGTCCCCGGATATGAATCACTGAATAACGCAAAACGTTAACCGCGAAAACAAGCATCCATAAATAGTATTTGGCATGTAGAGGAGGAGACTCACCGTTTTTATCCACTGATTCCAGCAGAATTTAAACTCTTCCCTGTCGATGAATCCATCGCCATTCGTATCGAAAACGGCAAAGATCTGCTCCAGGCGCTCCGGTGGAACATCATAGATATGTCCTTTATCATTCCGGAATAGGGCACGGCAGATTAAAGAAAATTCAGACAGATTGAGACGATCATCGCTGTGAAAAAAGGATTACAAGTTAGGGTTAGAAACAGAGTAATTTAAGGGGAGAAAAATAGATGGGAGAAGAATATTTAATTCCCCTTTAAAAATGGGGAACCAAAGAGCATCGAAATTTATTAAATCTTGAATTTGAATAAAACACTTTCAAATATTTATGTCGGAAATTAAATGCTTTAGTTTCTGTCTCTCTCTCTCATTAAACACATTTTTAAAGTTCCAGTTTAGTTTTAAGTAACTTTATCCTTTAAAAATAACATTTAATATAAACACACCAAAGGTATTGCAATTCCACAATTAAAAATCACTTTAAATTAATGGGCTTAACTTTTCGTTTCACATTTTTACTGAAATAATATAATTTGACCTTGTAAAAACTGATGGATTTTTTTTTTCATTTATATTTCCAGCGTTGATTTTTACATTTGCATAAAGTGATTTGATCGTAAAAATTGTGGCACATAAAACTTTTCCAGCTGTCAATTAGAATTAATGCATGCACGGTTTTAAAAAGGTTATTTATTTTTTTTGCACTTGATGTCATAAAAATAGCAAATAGCAAATAGTTTTGGCAGTTGTCGAACTAATACATTTAAATGTATCGAAATATCAGTTTATTTATTTATATTATCAAGTGTCGAATATATTTTTAAAAGCATTTAATCGTTTGGTTACTTTTGTTTTGCGGCTTGCGGTGTGAAAGTTTTCAATAGAATCACAAATAAATAATTATATAATTATGCAAACAAAATCGTTGGCAGTATAAATTAAGATTATATAATTGCAGGATTAACATAAATAATCGATTAAATACGAAATTTGTGTGAGAATTTTAGCATTTTATTGAGGAATTTTATATCACACACTCATTACACTCATTGCACTCACTCCACTCACCCGTCTTTGTCAAATGCCGTGAAACAGGCATCCATTGCTGAACCGTTTGAATCTTCGATGACAATTGGCGGTGTAGGTGAATCCATAACGGCGTCGATGTTGCCAACGTCCAAACAAAGCCAACAAATCCAACAGCCAACTCCTCACTTAATGAAGCTCCGCAGCCAGCTGCAAGTTAAAGTGAAGCCATCAATAATAACAACCGCACACAGTCAGACACACCACACACACACACACCACACACACACACTCTGAGAAGCGCACACGTAAACACTACATATTTTCCTGCCATTTTCCCAGCCAAGTTACAAAGTTTTCCTACAACCCACCGTGGAGTGTCGTCACCCTCACACTCACAGTCTCGTTCTCTTTCGCTCCCGCGGTGTTCTCTGGGCCCGGCTTTAGCCCGCTCGGCTTGAACGCTTGCCAGTTACTAAAAAACAAGCTTCTGCTGCCATTCCGATGGCCAAAGCGACGCTGATTTTTCGCCTTGCCATAGATTTATCGAATAAACAAACGCTTGTTCCGCCCCTCGCACCCCGCCCGCACTTTTTCCATTATTGTCATGGCGACGACGTCATCTTGTGGTTTATTTTATTTATTTGATTTTCACCAGGCAAGCGTGGGATTCCCCACCCAATGTTCTCATTTCACAGTTTTCCGAATTTCCCATTTACACGACGCCCCCACCACCGTAAGCTTTTGTGGCGGCACCCGCAGACTTGATTACCTGGCGTTTTTCCTAATCAAAAAGTGCGCATTTTACACTGCAATCAATCAATATTATATTAAGATTAAGTTTCAATGTTTTAGAAACATTCTAAAAAAATTGTTGTTAAATTATAAAGTTTCAATTTGACAACATTAAAACCTTAGATCTTTGTTTAATTTTGGCATAAGCGGACTTGGCTCTTAACCCAAAGCAAGTTTTAGTTTAGAACCATTTGTTAACTTGAGATAAATAAATAAATAAATAAATAATTAGTTTCATTTTACATAATAATCTTGTCTTATTTTACCATAGCAGAAGAATAAATATTTGGGAAAAATCGCAAAAATGTTCTTAATTTTCCCAAGTTAGAGTTTGGCAATATTAAAGCCCCAGATCTTTGTTTCCATGTACCCATTTTAGACAGTTTTCCCCTTATTAGTGTCTTGATTTAATGTATACAATATTTGTATAACTTATAACTTGGGAAAAATTCGGAAAAATTGTTCTTAAAAGTCCGAAATTAGAATTTGGCAAAGTTATATGATCAAAGTATCATCTTCGTTTCCTTTTACATAATATTCTTGTTTACTTTATACAGGCTTTTAGATTCTTGAGTAGTTTAAGTATCAATAATTCAGAAAAAGTGTTTTTCAATATAGAATTTGGCAACATCAATGTTTAATTTTAACAAATCAACAAAAAGCTGTATATATATATTAAAAGCTTAAATTGTCAAATCAAACAACAATAATTTTATAAGAAATAAGGATATATGAATTAACAATTTTTAAGTATTTTTTCCCTCTGTATATGCAGTGTTTTCCGGTAGCTTCCCACCATGTTTTTTTTTTTTTTTTGGAGGCATTCAGTTAATGTCAGGACACACCAGCCAGGAGGGAAATGCGAAAGTTTTTGACATTTAGCCCCGAAATGCGGGCCTCACCCTCGCCGCCTTCATCGCAAAGTCTCACGAATCGCAGTTGATTGTTGCGGATATGTGAGAGCGTTTTGAAAAGCGTCAAATAAGTGAAAGAAAATCCTTCAACGAAAGGAGCGAAAGGAGTCGGAGCCAGTACAGTTGCGCACAAGGAATGAACCCTTGTTTCCAAGTTTTCTGAGCCACCTCCGCTAACAAGGCCAATTGCTGTGGCTGCTTTGGCATTTCTGAGTGATTTCTCCAACGCTCAAGTGTCAACTTTTCATCCAACTTAACAAGGTAACTCCGCCATGGTACTGACAGTGCTACCACCCACATTACCCGCTTTTCCACACCGTCGTCTCCTTTTTTGTTGTACTTTCCTTTTTGAGATTTTAGTTTTTAAGCCCGCTCTTGGTTTTCTTTTATTTGAGTTTCGTTTTACTCGAAACACAGAACAAAAAATAATAAAAGAGAAATATCCTTTTCTGCATACATTTACCTGCAGCTTATAATATTTCCATTTTCCATCTGCCCATTTCCCAAGGCCCAAAAACCCCTTTTGTCCCCCGCTTATACCACCGGCAGTGTACAATAAGCCACAAAGCCATAGATTTCCATTTAACTTTTAGTCCTATTTCATCCAGAGCTACCCGGGCTAAGCTCCCAAACAATGTGTCCTGGTCCCGGACTGATTTTTTCCTCCTTCTAGTACAACTAATGCGCAGCAGGCGATAAATTTAAATTTAGACGTGAATATATGTGGTGTTTACTTAATATTAAAGATTTATGCACAATATGTTTCGGCCGCATAAGGTACAAAAGACCGCAATAAAATAAAAAATATTGCCAATGATTTATGAGAGGGGTGGGGAAAAACGAACAAAAGTCAAAGGCAGGCTGACTATCGCTTTAAATTGCTTACAAAAGATGGATTCCTACCGATACAATAACAAGTTTCGGTTTAATTTGGCCAATAACTTCTGGTCACAGATAAACATAAACAAACATAAATATGAACAAAATGCCGGCGAGCGATAAAAATGCGCATAATTTCGTTGAGCTTGGCAGAAAGTTTTTGGCCAAAATAAACTTGAGAGCCATCCTCTCCCTCAGGGGAAAATACAATCGGAAAACCCAGCTCAGACAGAGGCGCCCCAAAAACACACTAATTGAAAACTATTTTTGGACGGCAGCTCTCCTGGGTTTTTAGCAGAGTAGAGAGCCTTTCGGCTTTGGGCTTTCGGGTCTTGAGTCCTGAGTCCTGAGTCCTGAGTCCTGGGATTCGGGTCTCCGGACCCCGGTTTCCCGTTTCGGGTTAATATGTAAATGGCGGATAACGCGAAATGTGCAAACTTTGGCTGCGAAACAATTTACGCGGCATTAAGCGAAACGCTTGCGCACACCTCACCTCAAAAGGAAAAGTCAGTCGACTTTGGGACCCAGAGCCTTCAGATTGCTTTCGATTAAAGTTGTCGACGTCAAAGTCATTGACTAAATAAGGAGCATCCATAAAAGCGAGCACAAAAAAAAGCAAAGCGGCAAAGTAGTTAGCCCCATCCAACAAAGAACAAAAAAAGAACCTGGGAAATGGTGGGAAAACCCAGGGTAAGAGAAAAAACTTTGACAATTTGAAAAGACCAAGATGGTGGGGGTGGATGAGGCTAAAAACGAAAGTTCCGTAAATGAAAGCCAGGCCAAGAATAAAGAGAGAAATAACCAAGCCCAGCACGTGTCCCGAATTTGAGTTTGGCTGCCAAAGGTGACGCCAAAATGGAGGGCTTTTCCGGGGGTTAAAACTTCAATTGTGATACAGAACACAGAACAGATTTCAAGTTTTGCCCCCAATAGATTTTGATGGCCGTGAATTGCTGTTAGCTGCGTGATGCCGCACAACCTTGAAGGTTAAATAAGTTCAGGTAGCAAGCATTTTATTTTTTGTCGAGTTTAAGGAGTCTTCAAAACTACACTTGGGTAAATAATTGTTCTGATTAAGGAAAACATTAACTTCAAGGGGGTTTTTAATAATAAATGGTAGTTGTTTAAGTGGAATTATATTACTAGTTATAGTGACTTGATCTAAGGTAGAGAAACAAGGCGTTAAAGGTTAGCCAAGACTAACATCTTCATCTGTATATTAAATTCCATATAATTTAAAAACTAAAGGAGTTTGGTTATATCAAGACAATTGTTATTGATAGTTAGACATTCGCAAATCTCGTCCTTATAGGGACTACAAAATAAAATATAAAGACAACTATATTAAGTAAAAGTGAAAAATATGCAATATGTAATGCAATATTACAATTAATTAATATTCTCATTGTATTTCAGTATAAACTTATGAAAATCTTACCACATCTTTCTCTGTTCTTATTTATTCAAACCTTAATTTAAAAACAACCACAAAATACACATGATAATGTCCAAAAATTAGTTAATATCCAATTCTTTTTGTTAAAATCATTGCATATTCTATTTGTTCACACTATTTGCTTAGACAAATTACATCTTCTTTGTAATCACATTTATTTACCAACAGATTAATCAGACAGTCACGACCCAAAAATTGAACTTGTTCTTTCAATTTTCACAGGAACTTCCGCCGAACTTCCGAATCCACAAAGCACTTGAAAACTTCTAATGCTCTTTCCGAGCAGGAAAAACGAGGGAAACTTTAAGCTGCTACCATAATTCAGCAGATCCAAAAAGGGAGGGGAGGAGATGGAGATGGTTTGCGGAAAAGTTCCAGCCAAGGGCTGAAGGGGGAAAAGCGGGAAAATGTCTTGCATAATTTGCCTGCAGAGCGCTGAAAAGTAAATTACCGCCTAAGACTTCCTGTATTTGTTGTTACGGCGGTGGGCGTGTCAAAAGTAGCTTGTCAGGACGATGGGATCAGCTAATAAACCACGCATCCCCAGTCCAGGACACGAGCAGGAGCCCCAGAGTGCCAGGAGTGGCAGACACAGGAAGCAGGAGCCAAGTGGAGCATTTAAAAGCAAACGCCTCTGGGGTTCGTCAATTGAATTGCCAAAAAATTTAGCAGCTTCTGCTCGGATGGATCTCATTCTCTTCCTGAAAATCGTGGAAGGGGATGGATTCCGAGTGGATGGAAAAGGGAGCGATGAAGGGCTGGGAAAATGGTTTGGTTTTACACCCAGGAAAAATGTATTAAAATGGGTAACCAATTCTCTTTTTTATTAAATTCGATAAATATGTTATCCTTAATAGGGGAGAGTATTATAAGTAATAACAAGTAATTACATTGTTTTTAGATGGCTTTCAAGGAGTCTGGTATACCTTTGACCTTCTTTTGAAATGTATACAATAGGATTAATTGCTTTACAATGTTGAAACATGTTTGTAAAGTATAAAAAGAGCCTTTGCTTATCTGTTTTGCGATTATTTCTCAAGGTGCAGATGTGTGCGCTGCCTATAAAAGGCTTTCAATTTTTCTTTACTGCCTGCCTGTTCCCATGGTCCTTTGTATAGCTTTAATGCAGGCACGTCAGCAGCAGCAATTTGGAAAGGAGCAGCCTT